AGCAGCTGATCGATGTTTCTCTCTCATGGATGTTTCTAACTCTCTATCCCTCTCCCTTCCTCTCTGTAAAAAATCCATAAAATATATTTTTTTTTAAAAAGAAAAAAGGGTCAGTGGCCCGCTGAGCTCTGGCTGCCCTTGCAAGGACTGGGCAATGCCCAGCCATGTCTCCGAAGTGCCATAGAGAGATGGCTAAAGTGTGTGCAGCCAAGAAAGAAAAAGTGAGAGGGAAAACAAACAAACAAAAAACAACAACAAAAAAAAGGAAAAAGACAAAGAAATACAAAGTTTTATACACTATATAACATAAACTTTCGAATGCCACCATATAATGCATACAATAGAAATAACATCTTTTCTTTCTTGCTAATACATTTTCTTTTCTAGTCTATGCATTAAAATGAAGGCCACTGGAAAATAACAGATACTCACGCACTAGAAATACAGCTTTCTGCTCCCGGGCTATCACCATAAGATCATTGGTTGGGGACAAGGATAAAACGCAATCTTGAAGCCAGGAAGTTTTTTGTGTTTTGCAAGTGTTTCCTTCTTCTTCCTGTGGGTAACATGGCAAAGACTGTATATGCAACAATATCGAGAGTTATTTAAACTTAGCTTGTCCCCCTTGAAGGGCAAGGGGGAAGAAAAAAGGGACAAGAAATCTTCCCAATTATTTCATAAAGTCTCAATAATATTTCTTATCAAAACATGTTAAAGATGACCAGCAATATGTCCACTACATACAAACCTCAGCTTTGAATATTAATGCCAAAAATTTTTAACGTAAACAAATATAAACTAGCAAGACATTAAAGGAATATCACATAAGGGTCACTCCGAAAATGACTGAGTATTAGAAAATGCAGTAATAATCCTATGCCAGAGACAGCCAGGCTGTCTGCAGCCAGATAGCAAAAAAGAACTATCTGATGAGTACGGCTGTAGGATCTGTGAACTATCTGCTACATCTCACACTTTTTTTTACTTGACCTGAAAGGTTTTTTCATTTTTTCAACTGAAAAATTATTCATGTATAAGTGAATTCCCAGAGTTAAAAAAAATCAACAGATCTTAAAAGGTCTGCTTTGAGCCCTGACCGGTTTGGCTCAGTGGATAGAGCGTTGGCCTGCAGACTCAAGAGTCCCGGGTTCGATTCCAGTCAAGGGCATGTACCTTGGTTGCGGACATATCCCTAATAGGAGGTGTGCAGGAGGCAGCTGATCGATGTTTCTAACTCTCTATCCCTCTCCCTTCCTCTTTGTAAAAAAACAATAAAATATTTTTTTTTAAAAAGGTCTGCTTTGGAAAGTCTCTCTCATACTCCTGTACTCTAGCTGCCCTGCTGACTCTAGAGCAGTGGTTCTCAACCTTCCTAATGCCTCGACCCTTTAATACAGTTCCTCATGTTGTGGTGACTCTCAATTTCATTGTTACAAATTGAACATAATTAAAGCAGTGATTAATCACAAAACAATATGTAATTATATATGTGCTTTCCCATGTTCTTAGGCAACCCCTGTGAAAGGGTCCTTCGACCCCCAAAGGGGTCTCGACCCACAGGTTGAGAACCACTGCTCTAGAGCCAAGCCAGGCAATCAGTTCTGGTTTTATTTCCAGAGAGGCTTTCTGCACATGCAAATAAATACATTTACTACCCTTTCCCCCTTTTTCTAACACAAATGGCAGCACACTACATACAGGCGTTCACAAAAGTAGGTTACAGAAGAAGACAAATAATACAATAACTAATAAATAAAAGCATAATATGCTAATTAGACCAGACGTCCTTCCGGATGTCCTTCTGGACGAAGCCAGGGCTGCGAGGGAAGCCTGGATCCTGGGTGCCGGCCGGCGGCCGGAGGAAGGAAGGCCTACTCTTGCACGAATTTCGTGCATCGGGCCTCTAGTAACTAATAAATAATACAAGACTGTGGGTCTGTCCCACGTCAGATGTTTCAGATGTTTTGAGTCCAAGGACAAGTAACATCACCAACGGCCTGGAACAGCAGAGATGAGGAAATTCCTTCGCCAGTGCGGGTCACAGTGAACTAGTGTTGAACTAATTTACTTATATAATGAACAACAAAGCTTGATTTCCAACTTGTCAAAAAAGCCCAGGCTGGAGAGTGGGCCGGAAAGCCCTAGGGAGAATGTTCAGTGAGTACCAGCACACACTGGGCACCGACAAGATGCCAGCTCATCGGTTTGTTTTGTACCATTAAGGCATCTGCCTACCAATTAGGTTTTCTGAAAACTTCCCCCATAGTAACCGGGCCCATAGTCACCAATACTGCTCCCTGGAAGGTGCTGATTCTAAAACAACACCATCATTTGACAAGCTAGTTAATTTCCCAAGAGAAGCATGAAATTAAAAAACAAAACAAAAACAGCACCACCCAGGACTACCTTGGCTTTCCACAAAGACTAGCCCCTACCAATTACTAAATTGAACATTAAATGCACCCATTGGCTATAAGCATAACTCCTGCTGGGGCTTGGGGAGAGAACGTATAATTTTATTTAAATATGGCCTAAACTTCAAGGACCTGTTTTCTTTGAATTGAGAGCAGCAAAACTTTTTCTTAGTGTGCACAAATCTGGATTATGAAACCTAGATTATAAAAAGGAATTCATTCTAAATAACTAGGGCTGTCACATATTTTTAAATTTTTCTTTCTTTTGATTTTAAGCCCACAAATTTGTCAAGTGATTATTTTTTTTTCACAATGAAGCAGGTGGTAAAAATTGCAGTGATGTAACCAGCCTTTCAAGTAGAGCTGGCCACTACCGGGGCTGGTAAATTACCCCTCTGTAACCAGAGTGGCACCCGGTTTTGGTACCTCAGCTGCTGCGGTGACCAGATTGCCAGAATAGTTTTTCAAAGTTTTCAACTTTAGTATAATGAGTCCATGATTTGCAATTTATACTGTCACTGTCACTGTGCTTTCACAGACGTTTACATACTGCAGCGGAGAACGCAGGATAATTAAGGGACTGTCAGCAGATTCACTGTAATTCTCACCAGTTTCCCATCTAAATCATAGAAATAAAATAGTCACCTACACTTTCTAAACCAAGAGATGTAAGTGCTTCAGCAATATTGAAACACAAAAAGTAAATAATGCTAAATAAGTAGATTTGTCTCCTCCCAACCACCCAGTCTGCTATTAACATATGTAATGTCCAATGTATCTCAATGTTTTTTTGTTTTGTTTTGTTTTGTTTTAAGGTAGCAGGACTTTTCATTCCCAAATAAAATTCTATTCAACAGACTAATATATGAGACAGATAAAAGCCAAGCGGAGGAGGAATACAGCAGCTCTGTGGAGCCCCAGCGCTCTCACAAGTATGACAAGTACTGGTCTAGGCCATCTTCCACACTAGAGACTACAATTCTCAGATGCATGGTCTAAGGTCTTTTCAAAAATTAAAATGGGGCCAGGCAAGAGGCTCTTTCTAAATGTCATTACTAACCTGATTACAGGTGATCCAGCGAAAAAAATTTACAAACACAATTAGTCACATAAACCCACAATTTCAATTTTTAAAACAACTTTTCTTCCTAACTTTAAAGAAAGTTAATGATAATTCAGTAATTCTTACAGTTTTACTTCCACTGTCAATTCAAGTAGGGTCGGGTCTATTTACTTTTAAATTGTATGCATACTATGATCCCATTTTAACAGAATTCTGTTTGCTCATTCATTCAGTCACTCCACCAGCATAAAGCTATAGCAAAATGCCTACCTTTATAAGCCCTTAAAGTCAATAATGAGACTTGCAGGGAAGGTAGGTGTTGAGTTTGCTGTCTGTGTCCATTCTGATTAGGTGGCTACATCTTGGCTACAGCATATACTTTTGTGTTTCATACATCGGCCAAAATTTGCTCTTATTCTTGTTCTGTCTCTGGAGCTGGCTACGCCTTTGGAATGGTTCATAATCATAGAGAGCAGTGGAAATAACACATATCTACTTAGTACTTTTAAGTACAAAAATGCTCTTGACAAAGATTTTAAAATGTCAGCCTAACACTGCAATGTGTCACCATCATTACAAAAGGAAATGCCACTATCAAAGCGCGTGCACGCAGTGATAAAGACTCACCGGTTCTTGAAGAGCCGGCTCCGCTTCCTCCCATGCTCCCCACCCATCATCTTCCCAGTTCGCTGATTTACCTGTTTTAAAACAGATGAAAAGTGCTTACAGGAAATATAGAGCTTAGAGTGTTTTAAAACACTTTCTCTAAACATAATAAAGCCAACCCCTGATAGACAGTAAACATTATATAGATGTATAGTAAATAAAAATAATGCTGACGTTAAGGAAGAAAATAACGGTAAACTACGTTATATCAGGATATTGCTTATGTAATAATAACCAGGAAACATATGGCCTAAATTTCCAAATCTGTGTCATAATATAACTGTCCAAGTTGTTTGGATCTTAAGATACTGGGCGTCCACATTTAAACCAAACTGCAACGGTGACTTTAAAAAAAATCTCAAAATGACAGCATTTGTTACTTAAGACAAATTAAATATACACAGTGACAAAAATGCCTAAAGTTTTACACAGATGTCTTAAAAAGTGAGTTATTTTTTGATAAGACAAGGTATCAATGAAAACTAAGTATTGAAATGACAGATCTACTATTCTCTACCTTTTTCTGATATTCTGTGATTTCTTACACATGAGAACATTTTCGTGGATTAAAATAAGATATTCAACGAACACTATAACAAGGAATTAAAAATCCTATATGTTTGGAGAGTATGATTCCTTACATTGTTCATGTTACATGTTTTTATATAGTATTTTTGAATTTATCTTTTATGGTATCCCATCAGAAAGAAGGAATAAAACTATCATTTTTTAAATCATTTACTCTGAGTCAAACAATAGATGAATGATAAGTTTAGGCCCCAAAATCAGATTGCCTAGGTTCTTAGCCTGGATCCAGCATTTACCAGCTCTGTGACCTAGAGCAAGTTACCCACCTCTACAAGCTTTAGTTCTCTCACACTAAAAGCTTGGAAAACAACAGTACCTACATCTCGTAGGGCTGTTATACGATGTAAACCAGGTCGCACACTAAAGTCCTCAATGCCCAACATGTAAGCTGGCAGTGCTAGTCCTCAAGATTTAGCCATTACAACACTATAAAATATGAACAAAATACTGTATTGAAACCAACCAGCTTTAAGAATCTAAAGGGAAGAATCAATTAAAAGATGGACTGAACCTGATATCTAGTATGCCTACCAGTAGGAAGGAAATAGATCTTTCCCATCTATGAGGTTTCACAAGTTGTTAAAATCGATTAGGTCTAGATGGCAAAGAATGTTACAATCTAGTATTTGGAATCATTGTTCAATTAGCTTCAAGGTAATAATACTCTCTTAAATCTCTGGGATTTAAATACCAAGTAACTGCTTCTGAGTACACATTGCTAGGTATATATTAAGTCCTCAAGGAGCACTATTTTCTGATTAACAGTGTACAATTTACAAAAGGTTTCCAAATACATGTCCCTTAAACAGTGCAACAAATGTTCTGCTAAATACCACGGGCAGCAGGAGCAGAGCAAAATACAAACACACTCCTTAAAGAATTTGTAGTGTAGTTAGTGTAGGGGACAAACATATAATTATAATACATGCTGAGTGTTGTAACTGACTACTATGGGAACCAGATGAGGCAGTGAGAGAGATGAAAAAAACATAGTGAGGAGTCATCTTGAACTAAGTCCTTCAAAAGTGGCCAGGAACCCTGCGGATAGACTTGAGAAGAAGGTCAGCTTGAGCAAAGGCAAAGAGGCAAGCAGACGCATTGCACATACAGGGGTTATCGGATAACAACTGACACGTATGCCGAGTTTCTATGTGCCTAAGTGCTTTCTAGACATTAGTTCACTTAAAGCTCCACAAGGATCCTGTATCATCCCCCTTTTACAATGAGAAAAACAGATCGCTTCGTTTACACAGCTTAACCACCATCACAGGGGATTACGTGGTGGAGTGGGGTTTGAGTCCAGGTGGCCTGAGTTCCAAAGCCCATGCCTGCAAATATTCTGTTACCCGGTATACTCATTCTCCTATGGCTTATGAAGAAGGATACCATTAAGAAACAGTGGGGCTTACGGTTAAGGTCGAAAGTAAGAATGGTTATTATTTTAATATAGAAACATTTCCTGGAGATTGAGACTTGCAGTTTTTTTGTGTGTATACCTTGGAAAATTACAGTTTGTTCTGTGGCAACCTAATTCGGTTAAGTAATCTCTTTATTCTGCTAATTTTTCCATTGCACCAAAAACAACTGCCTCATTGTGGGGCTGATGGCAACTAGGCCATCCATTTGCACAGTTTTAGAAAACTCACGGGCTCTGCTATGAAAAAGCAAAGTAACTAGCAAAGTGCATCATTCTAAAATCCAAGATTCAACTTTTAAATTGCTATAAGAATAATGTATTCATCAAATTACCACAATCTTTGAAAACCATGCAGAATGTATAGCACTTCATGAAGGTCAACTAGCCATTCATCCATCCATCCATCCATCCATCCATCCATCCATCCATCCATCCATGAAACACAGCATCTCTTCTGTCTTGAGCACTGAGCTAAATGCTGGAGATACAAAAGCAAATAAGCCTTCAAACAGATGAGTCTGTGCACATTACCTCTGTTGAACGCTGTACAAAACCAAACCATGAAAACTGTGTTCTTTCTCCTCCATCCTGGCATTAAAAGTACCTGACTCAATTCACAGATGACTCATCTGATCAAACAGAAGACAGCAGCAATCTGGACTTCCTGCCCCTGCAGAGATCCAACATCTCTTTATGCCACAATTCAACACATCCAGGAAGAGGAAAACCTTGAAAAAAATGCTTTCTTTTATACAAGCTATCTGTGTTTATGACAGCTTAGCCATTTCTCCATGCCCCTGACGGGGGAGTTTCTATTAAGAAGTGGGAAAGAATTTAATCAGGCATCTCCAACTATCGCAGGAATACATTTTCCAAGGAGGCCACGGTACAAACAGAGGTTAAAGGAAGGTGAAACAAAGCTATTACTCGGGTAGCTTAAAGATGTTTTTGAAGGCTCGTCTAGAATCCCAAGTCTCTTTATAATACTATAAGAAAATGCACTCCAAATTCTAGTCGTCTTAACAATGGGAAACATTTTAAAACAACCGCCTGCAAACTGTGCACTACCTTTGTGGCTATTTCTATGCAGTGCCAGTGATAGAATTTCTGCAGCCTCCTGACTTCTGTTAAAATCATTTGACACTGTTTTGCAGGCTGCTGAAGTCCAAATCAATGGAATTGAGCAGAAAATTAAGAAAATGGCATTCACATTCATTGCCTTCATACAGCCAGAGCTAGTCTCTTCTGCTGATTACCCTCCTTCTCCAGGTAGCCCTAATATCTCGGCAAGGACGAGATTAAAGTAATGAATTAGGGATGACTGAAGTTTCGGGGTTGGACCCACCCACGAATCTGAGGCAGATCACTAGCTTCAAAGATAAACTTGAATACCAATAAAATCTGATCCTAAACATCCTTTTCCTACCATCCATCACCCTTCTTTCTTTTTCTCCACTTGGACTCTTCCCTTACTGGTGGGCAGGTGTTAGCAGCACTATCCAAGGAAAATATCATGCGAGCCACACAAGTAATTTAAAATTAAAGGTCAGGGGAGGGTCCAAACTGCATAACCAGTGGTATGAAAGGACAGGAGATCTAAACACCATGACCAGCAATATGCTAGGGGAGGAAAGGTCACCCTGGGGGTCAAGTGCCACCCTATAAAAAAAAAAATTTACTAGCAGCTATATTTGAAAACTAGGTGAAATTAATAATTGTAATAACACTTTATGTAACATAATAGTCAAAGTATTACCATTTCAATATGCAATCTATGTTCACTGACACATGATATCATTTTACTGTGTTTTCCACACTCAGGCTTCATAGTCTGTGTGTTACACTTAGAACACACCTCAGTTTAGGCTAGTCACATTTCAAGGGCTTGCCAGCACAGTGATGGTGGCTACAGTGTGAGACAGCCCCGGTTCTTACCCTTATCAAGTTAACTATTAGGTCTCCGGCTGCCTGGCTTGAATAACCACCTTTACCCCTAAGGCAGCGGTTCTCAACCTGTGGGTCGCAACCCCTTTGGCGGTCGACCGACCCTTTCACAGGGGTCGCCTAAGACCATCCTGCATATCAGATATTTACATGACGATTCATAACAGTAGCAACATGACAGTGATGAAGTAGCAACGAAAATAATTTTATGGCTGGGTCACAACATGAGGAACTGTATTTAAAGGGCCAGAGGGTTGAGAACCACTGACCTAAGGAGTTATATGACTTTGGGCAATTTAACTAATCTCTTACTGCCCTGGCTTTCTCTTCAGCAAAATGGAGTTAGTCATTGTATCTACTCATATATACAGTTACTATATGCAAAGCACTCGGGACAGTGTTTGGCACGAGACACCCTTAAGTGCTGATAAAATTATCCTTCTCCAAATACAACATCCCCAATTCCTCCTTCTCACTCTCTGCCTCTGCCTCACACACACTGTCTCTACCTCTCCAGATTCAGCTTTTACTCAAGGGCTCAGCGGAATCCTTTAGGGAGTTTACTTGCATCCACCAATGATCTTTCTCTCTTGTGAAAGCTCAGCATTTGGCTGTATTTTTGTTTCAGAACTTAATTACTAACTGCTTGGGTCATCTGTTGAGTTGTTAACTTGTCTGGTTTTTCATAAATATAGATACCTCTGTCTATACAACTAACCATTAAGCCTTGGAGAGCAGGGAGTGGGCGTACTGTATGTGTGCCAACACTTACACACACACATACCTACTCTTTTCACATTCTTAGCCATCTTTCCTTAAAATTCACCGAAAATCAAGGATGTATTGAAGATTCATTTAAAGCATTAAGAAGACTGTCCACTTAAAATATTTTGTTAGTCCACCTCCCTTGCTGAATACCCTTCTTTCTGATGCTACACCACATCTTGAATCATACTTGCTCTCTTTCTGAATAAAATTCATATAGAGAATTAACAGAAAGCAACTAACTACCTCCTCACTGACTAGTAACTTGACTTTTCAGTCCTTAACTTTTTTATACCCAGAACCAATGAAGAATAGAATAATTGATAACATAAGCATAAACCCTTGTTCTTACCCTTATCAAGTTAAATGTTTTGCCTGAATAAATGAAACCAATGACTTCAAAATATAAAATGTAACTATAACTCCTTCTGGAGAGAAGTTTTTCCCGAAGAGATCAGATTATACTAGTATTAAAAAAAAACCTGTTCAGTCTCTCACTTGATAAATGATATACTCACTGAACCCTTCACACCACTGAGAAAACACATTTTATCAACCGTCAAAAAATATACAGATGTCTTTTTTAGGGTTATTCCCAATGAA